GCAAAATTATGTGGCCACCTGTGATCCAGTGGACCTCACGACCACATTGGTGAGTCAAATTGCCAAGGCTTTTGGCGTGGCACTGGAGTGCCAAACGGTCCTTGCAGATATTCAATCAAGGAACCGGGCCTCGCGTGATGAGTTGGAGGCGGTGAAAAAGCAGAGCTCCAGCAAAAGAAAGAAATGAACATTGACCTAAGGGTCAAATCTGATAAAAATGAGGCCAAGCTGGAGTCTGCACAGGTTGAGGTGGAGAAGATGAAGAAGGAGGTCCATGAGGCCCAATGTGAGGTGGCTGTACTCACGAAGAAGATGGAAACTTCCGACAACCACCAAAAGGTCACTGTCGAGGCTCTGGAGAAGGAAAACCTTGAGCTTGCTGGGGCACGGGATGCCAATAAATTTATGGAGAAGGAGTTTGACTAGTATGCTGCCGAAGTAAAGAAGTATCAAGCTGACATGATCGAGGTGGGTGATATTGCAGTGAAGAACTACATAGCCAATTTTCATTTCACTGAGGAGTATCACCGCTTTGGCATGTATTGGAGCAGGGGGCATACCAGGAAGTTTTTGAGAGGTTGGAAGAGGTACAACCATGGCAGACGTCTCTGAGCTAAGGGCTGAATTTCTTGAGGAGAAGGTTCCTCAGACGCCGTTGAAGAAGGCGAGGTGGTGGAGCTTGATTCTGACAACACGCCCACTGAAGCCTCTCAGCCTGCAGAAGTGCTGACTGAGGCTACAGCTTCTGACGCTCCTGAGGTGCCAACTGAGGCTCCTGCTTTGACGCCCCAGTTCCCCCACCCCCTAGCTCATCTTAGGTTGTTGTAATTTATTTCAATTCTGTTTAAGGCGTATGGCCTCGTTGTGAAGGCATTCGAATTTTGTAATTTCTCCTTTTGAAATGAATGAAGACTATATTGCTTTTGCCTTTCTTGTGTAATTACTGTTTACGCCTCGTGTAGCTGAACCACTTAATCGATGTAATAACCAACCAATTTAAGCTAAAAACTGAATACTAACCTTTATCAACTGAAATCA